TTGAACATACTGAGCTCCTAAAAAGCCCAAGACGTGTGCGAAGCCTCCTTCCATGGCTCAGGAGGACTGTTGCGGACTGTTGCTTAGATCATTCGAGCTAGAGCAACTCTTGCGAAGTTCTGTATGTCAGGCGATTGCACCGCAAGACAAAGTCAGTACATTTGGGTAGGAGCTGGTGGGAGATGAATCTGACCCTTTTTTTACATGTTGGCATCCATTCCATGGAAATGGAAAGAAGCGTCCATCCACATTCTTTCAGTTGAGTCTTTGGATTGCAAGGAGATGAGAGCTGATGTGAGCCATCTACTTGCTCCGTTCACATTGGGCGTGCGCCTTGACGTGGACTTTGACCAGTTTTTTCGACGAGATGATGCTCTGTCACAGCTGCAGCACTGGCGGAAGGCGAGATGGTGAATTCGTAGTCATAGTATTTGCAGTTTGTAGTGACATCGCTACCATGCCGGTGAATTACTTTAAGCATCTACATGCTATGTACAGAAACATGTTGTGCTGTTGTACAATTGTTACAATGTACAATGCTTGATGGCATTATCATCAACACTGTATATAATGTCTCAGAAGCGAGTTTGCCATCCCCGCGTTGAATCCCAGTCGCTTCATGGTCGTTGATTGATACCACACTCGAATATAGTGTATGGGTATATGCAGATAGTAGGAGCGGTTCTACCACTTTTTGCAATGAAGAATACAGCTTCTTGCACTTGGAATACCAGCGCTTTCCTTTGCAAATATAGCAATGACAGCTTTTCTACACATGCCACAGGTCTTTGGCTTGGAATTCCCAATGAGATGCAGATTTATCAAGAATCTAGAATCCAGGTCCTGCAGATGATCGACAGACCATTGCTATTAATTACGTACTTTTGCTATTCCTACTACGATTGCTACTATTGCCGCCATCACCACCACCACGACTACTACTACGACAATGATTACGACCACTACCACCACTACCTAGCACCTCCACGACCATGACCACTACCACTGCTACCATCGCCACCGTGACTACCACCACCATCACCACCTGTCTTGGGTCCTGAACGCACCCTCAACAACCTTTCAACAAGAAAGCCTGCATCCGCACCAGGCCATTGCAACCACTGTCGCGCACTCATTGAGCGCCACCGTGTTTGTTCCTAACTGTGCCTTCGGCGTTCCTGTCTCTTCAAACTTGCTTGATGCGGCTACATATGGTTCTGGTAGGCTGTTGGGAGCTACTTCCTGTTTCTGCAGCTTATCCTCATTGATACACACTCCAATTATGGTCAATACGTTGGGCTTTTGCGGTAGTTGCTCGAGCAAAAACACACCAGCCTTTGAATCTCGGTAGCTTGGCCCACCATCTATTCACAGTCAAGTGATAAAACACACGTTGACGCTTGAGGTGCTTGGGCTGTCTTCTCCACAGCATCTTCGATTGCAGCGTGTGAGGACGTGCATTCGTTGGCATGTTCAGCCATTACTCCGGATGCTGGCGGGAACTCTGCAAGTCAGCATTGCAGGAATCTCCGAGAACCCTACGCGCAAAGCGTAGAACTGTAGATTGCAAAGCATTGGGATGATTGAAATGTTTGAAGTTTGAAGATGATTGATGACATAGCTGGGCGACACAACGTTTCTATTGCAACTACAAAGTGTGAGTGAAGGGCATGGGCACATCCCAGGAGAGGCTCCCTGGACTTAGAGTTTGTTGTGGAGGCGGCATGCATGGGCGAAACCAACGATTTTATACTGTGCTTCTTCAATAAAGTGTGTTTGTTTCGTTGGATGAGACAAATGTTAGTGAAATTGATGTAAAGTTGTGACATTTCGATGAAGCCCCGCTTCAAGGTGAAGGAGGTGAATGCAAGATATTGCAAGAGTTTGCTGTCAAAGCTTGAGTCCTGATGAGGTATTTGGCGTTCTCAAGTATCCCAGAGTCATTGGTTTCGTTGAGCTGTTAGAGTTATAACATGTTATAACTTATACATGTTCATGTGTTCATGTATTAGAAGGACACATTCATATGAAGAGGTGTTGCAAAGTCTCACTGTGGTGGTCAAGCAGTGGCAGTCATGGCTAGGTTCCAATTTGCTTCGACACAGAGAATGGACCCCTCCAACCCCCCGGCCCTCCGTGTTTGACGCCATGCGACGTGGCCCCCTGTTCTCCAGCGCTGGACCGTTGGAACGTTCCGCCTCTTGGGCACTGCCAGAGCCGTCGCTCTTTCAGCCTGGTGGTGGACCCACCATAGCCCACACGATCGAGGTGAGCAAGCGTCCGGAAGACCTTCGCTTGGTCTCGGCTGCAGCTGCTGGAGACCTATCAGCAGTAGAGACGGCATTGCATCATGCAGCTTTAGAAGCGCATGTCCGATTGCCAGGATTTTTGAGAGCTACGACTGCACTACATGCTGCTAGTTCCGCAGGCGCCGTGGACGTTGTGCGTCATTTGCTTGAAGCTCGTGCTGCTGTAGCAGGTCGTCACGGCCAGTTGCGAGCTTTGACTCCACTACATGACGCGGCGACTGAAGAGGTGGCGCTCGTTCTCCTAGCGGCTCGTGGGAACCCTTGGGCAAACGACCCAAGGGAACCCGATCCAGCTTGGTATCATGAGCAAAGGAACCGCCATGCTGTAGCAACACTTATCCGACAGCGCCGTTCTGATGCGTCCCCAGTGGCAGGAGACTCCTCTCCTTCTATGGCAGCGTTGCCCAGGCTTCCTTCACTCCCACTTTCCTCAGCAGAGCTTCAAGCCATACGCAGATCGTTCTCAGTGAAAGGTTCGACGATTTTGCAGCTCTTGCGGCGTTCTCCTGATGAAGATGCGGAAAGTGCTGAGTGCTCAATTTGCATGATTGAAATCACGGCTGATGATGATATCCTGTCTTTGCCCTGTGGAGGCTCCCATGGGAAGTCAAGCACATGTCGCCCGCATGCGTTTCATCAGCTTTGTTTGGAGAGATGGCTGCTGACCAAAGCTGGCGCTTGTCCAATTTGTCGACACAGCCTCCGGGGCAAGCGGAAGACGCAGAGTGCACCTGCAAGGCATCGAGAAATCCAGGAGCTTCCTACACTTCAGCCATTGCAGCTCCAGCCATTGCAGCCTTCGGTCATTGCACCTCAATTAAGTCGTGTGCCTGTGGCTAAGCCACGCACACGGAGTGCATATTCAAGACATCCTTCGGGACTTCCTTTGCCTGAGATCGATGGCCGCTCTTTGCTGCGGTAAAAAAGGAGTCAACAACACTTCATTAAGGGGCCCCGCAGACTAAGTTGAACCTGGTGGGAAGTTCCTCGCCAAGAAGGTCAATGATAGTTTGTTGGGTGACTAATTTGCAATTCGCAGCTAGTCCATGCCAATCCCCAAGAACTCGGAAACAAGAATTTATTGTACAAACTGGTTGGACAATGGGACACTCGCCAAACCTACTCACCAAAAAGAAACATTGTTTATTTCGGGGCCGGTTCATTCTGACAATTGCAATCCCTCGTGTGTCGACGTGTATACTGCTCAGCAGCTTGACTAGCGTGCAGTGGCACGCATCACTATGTGTTGCAGTGGTTCCAGGGTTATTTCTATTCCTATGTAGAACTTCCTTGCGGCTTTTGCTTGCAAATCTTGTGATGTCTTGTAACTAGCGATGGCCAAGCCTGGAAAGGGAAGCAATGCCTTTAGCACGCAGCAGAAGATGATAACCACTCGAGACTCACCCCTTGCTCATCCTCTCCTTTGGGGCCCAAAAGCTTTGGTTGGACCACAATCGTAAGGTGGACAGCGGTGTAACCGATGCTGAGTTGCAACAGCGCCTCAACCAGGAGGAGCGAAGACTCTGTGGTTTGCACGGAGTTCGGTGTTCATGCCTTTCCTTTGTGTGCTTTCTTTCTTTGTTTTGTTGTTTGTTTGAGGAGGAAGGGGGAGTAGAGATAGGTAAGCTGTCGTGCTCAAGTAGCTACGAGAGTCTGGATGCAGAAGGGCTTGGGCGATTGATTTGGTTCCTGGGCGCGATTTCCGCACTGGCTTCAGGCGGACCGCTTGCGGGCTTTGTTTCAAGAACCGCTTTTGGAGGCTCTACATTGACAAAAATAAATGACTGTCGCGAGAACTTCAAAAACTGCAAAGAGGATCTTTTCATGTGGTCAAGGAGTCTAGCCTGCTGTCAGGTCCGCGTAGGAGCAGATCCTCCTGAAAATGATGGGCAAGGCCAATTGCTTGACATCTACAGACAGCGTACTTGTCCTTGACGTGTTGCTTTTGAGGCACTGGCAGATCTGCGTCTCCTAGGGCACCTGTGACAGAGGCAAGACATGCTCCAATTTAACGTTGGAATGACTGGCTCAAAGCCATGCTTCATTGCCCAGCTATCATTTGGCTTTTGGAGCACACACTTTGCCAATCTTAGCCTCAAGTGGCCAAATCGGAGAGAGTTCCAGCATTTTCCAGCGCTTACCCAAGCCCTCAGGGTCTGGAGCGTGGCGCGCTGGCCTCTCCAAGCCCAAAGCCAGGCATTTTGCGACGTCCGGGGCTCTCAGGGCATCGTGCCTCGATCATCAAGGCGAATGCTTTCGGATCAAGGGCAGCCAGAAGCTTCTTGTTCCTAGTAGTCATGCCAGGAGCTACTATGATATAGTCCTTAGTAGCTTCTAGCCCTTGTTACTCGTACTAGTAGCTTCTTCTTCCTAGCTCTATCAATCTCTGTAACTTACAACTGGTGCAGAGTGCAAAGCCTGCAGACGCTACAGTAGTCGATAAGCTTTTGGCCAAGGCACGTTTGCTATCGTTAGCTTCAAATTGAACTCTCCGAAGCTAAACCAGCTGCTGAAGGATCAATCTGACCTGCATCATGACCTAGTCAGGTGGAGACCATCGATTCTCCAGCAGCGCATCCTCACAACGTTCTAAAATCTGCAATCAGAGACCGCTGAATTTCCTCATCCAATTCAATAGATCCAAGCAGGCAAAATGGGGTGCAACCTGGGTGTGCTTGCTTTGTTAGAAAATTTCAACCTCACCGCCATGAGTGCTGGGTTGGAAGCAGAAGCGGAAAAGCTTCTTGAGACCCATGGCATTGGTACTGGCAAGCCACCTGCCGACCCAAGAGCAGCCGAGCTTTTCCATCAGTTCTGTGATCGCTCAGAGACCACACCTGTGGGTATAGCCGTGGAGAATCGATTTTTCTCTGGATTTCAGCACAATGAAATTGATTGGAGCAAGCCAGTCCATGGTTTGCTGGTGGATTTCAAGGGTGATAGCATGCAAATTGGCATGCTGCTGCAGCATTTGGAGGCTTTGAGTAGCCACCATGTGTGCTATGGTTTGGACTATGCATCTACTGTAACTGTATTAATTATCATCTAGACATATTAGTTATATCTAGACTCTATACACACATGGCTGGGGCTGCAAGGGACTGTTCATGGCCATGTTCGAGCCCTTACGATGAACTGTGTTCGAGTCAAAAGAACGAGGCCTCTGACGAGCAGTATGTATTTCTTGGAAATCCGCCGCCCTTCAATGGTGGGTGGCATTTCACAGCTCTGGACGATTTTGAGCACGCCTTGGAGCAGAGGAGATTGGATCCAAGATGGAAAGGCATTCGCATTTGGCACAAGGTGAACTATGTGCTATCAACAACAGTCAGTGGTGAGCCTGCTCTAGTGCCAAAGGAGCAAAAAAGTGACGAATTGTAATTGTATAAATCAATATACATGATACGCAAGATAGACTCTGATAGATAGGAGTAGTTTTGCTTGAAACATCAGAATCTCAAACAATACATATTTGAATATGTGTGTCGAGTTTAAACATCAATTGCTGTTTGCAAGTGCACGGCAGGAGATGTTTGATCCCAAGAACAAGCAGCAAGGTGCCATTGCAATTAGCGAGAGCTTCAAGCTGACCACGGTGTTTTTCACAGGTGTGGGCTTGTCGTTTTGGGCCCTTTGCGTGTGCCTTAAGAGGTTTGACCAGACTCCGCTCCTTGACATGGGACTGGGAGCTCCTGCCAGGGGAATGCCACTTAATTTGGAGCAGGACAAACACCCTGCAGCATAGTCACTGGGGTAGTTTGAAGAAGCTCGGGCAGATGGATAGCATAGATGTAGCAAGTTCCATGAGGATTCCCAAAAATATGTGTGTTGCTTCTCGGTGAACACTTAGAAAACGATTGTATCGGACACTACCGGGGAATCTGAAGTGGTCCTGAAATCGATCTGTCCAGGTGGCTTGATGCCGCATACTCTAAATGCTACCTTGCTGTCAGATCAAAGCGATGCTTGCGCTGCTCTTATCCGGTGCATGGAGCTTGGAACACGGTTTGCAGCCATTGGGCATGGCTTGGACGTACTTTTGGCCCTGGGCAAAGACAGCAGCCCCATTCGGGGCAAGAGAGCTGCAGTTTTTCCCAACCAGGAGAGGTAAGTTTTGTGCTGATTCTCAGAGGAAAGGGTGCTAGAGTTGCGAATGTGGTAGGGTGTGGAAAAGGTTCAAATTATAGATGTAGTCATTGCACTATGAATTCCAGTGGTCTCAACTCAGACAAGCAACAGGAGCATTTGCTGCAGATCCATGGTGTGGAAGCTAGCGGAGATCCTCTTTGCATTGATGGAACTCTCGTCACTGCGAGTTTCTGGGGTCAGGCTGAGACAGACATGTTGCAATAGACGCATATTGTCATGTTGAGTGTTACAGTGTCGTTGAGATAGGTCCACAGTTGATAGATCTTGATAGACTGCTTCCTGAGTTGTACTTAGAGGACAGACCTGGAAGACAAAAGAGACAGAGCGCATTCATGAGTTCAAGCCATGTCGGAGGTTGGAGGCCATCGCTCTTAGGTTGGTGAAACTGTGTCACTCTGGAAGGCCACCATGCAGCCATTCTTCGCCGCAGTCAATCTGGAAGCACCGTCGCGGAGTTCCCCGTCTCTGCGAGCAATCCGTCGAAGTACCACGGAGACTGCTTTCTGCTTTGATGCCGCAAAGATGGCGCATTGCTCTGGGAGCTGGGTTTGTTTGATTATTTTCGGATATCCATTCTGAATGTCAGACTGGCAAACGGCGAGTTTCTGTATTTGTTCATGTTGGCTCCGGTCCAGCAATCTGTAGGGTGGAGTAATTTGAGGTTGTGAATGGAATGTTCTTTGTTCAGTGAGAGGAGCTGCCTTACATCGGACCCAAAGGCGCCCACAGTGGCATTCTTTGTGGATGATGTTGCAGATCCTATTGAAACATACACAATCATCAACCACTTGACGAAGCTGCAGTTCAATGTTCATTTCATCAGTCACAGCGAAGCTGAGGGGTGTGGTGGCACTAAAATGCGGCGCGTCACGAGTGAAACGGTTTGGGGGAATGCCATGTATGCCTTAAAAGACTGCTGCTGTGAAGTTCCCACTCTCCCAGCCAACCTGGTTGACACAACACTGCGCTTCGACGGCTTCTTTGTAGCTGGAGGGCAGTGCCCGTACTATATGATCAATGATTCTTCCATCCGAGCGATTATGGATTCAACCCCCATTGCAGCGGCTGTGTGCCATGGTCCAGAAGCCTTGATTGGGACAAAATGGCTGCATCCCAAAGAGGGGGAAGTCGGAAAGTTTGTTTCCTACTATGGTGCCTGGATGAGTTTTCGGGATGTGCTACACGCCTATGAAAGGAAGAAGCCTGGAGAGATTTGTGTTGACGCATCTGGGAGGCTCTTTACTGGAAATGCTCCAAACGCCACCAGCGCGATGGTAGAACGAGCATGTGATGCCATTTTGGCACTCACAAAGTAGACTGGTGTGGCCTATGAAAGTTGCATCCAAACGTGACAACACGCCACGGATCCAAAAGGGACGCCTTCTTTCAATGTTGGACTTCAAACAGTGTCTCATCAAGAGCGCGGTGAGCGCGGCGAGCGCGGCCGGCTCAGCTTAGACTGGAGGTTCAAGTCCCTGGCACAGCCAAGACGAAGAAGCTCGTCACAGACTGGAGGACTCCAAATAGACTGGAAGGGACGAAGCAGACAAGGCAAACCGCTGGCATGGCCATGGTTGAGGATCTTGATTCAACTTCCTAGCACCTGCATTCACGATTTGTAAAGGTTCGAGGCAAAAAGATTCAAAACTGAGACGTGGTCAAGAGCAACTGGTGGACTTGCATGATCAATGATTTTGCAGAATGCATTTCACTATGATTCAGCAGTATGCAGCTGACCGGAGGAACGGGTCCGAGCTGCTGAAGCAGACTATGGTAGCTGAGCTTAGAGAGTCGCGAAGACTCTTCATTGCGTAACTGATTCCAACTTAATGGGCTGTAGAATGTCTGCAGATCATGGCAAATCCAATGATTCATTTGTCCATTGTAACATTTTTTGGATTGTAACTTATTTGGCTGTTTTTTCTTTGACGATCCAATGATTCATCTGATTCATTTTGATTCATCTGTCCTTTCACATCGGTCGACTTCCTTGACGCCTTTCTGACGCACACGGGCCGACCGGCGCGCCGCAGGGGTCGACCTGTTCCGGTGGACCCGTGTGTTTTCCGAAAGAAACGAGGGCAATAAGTCTGTTCAATTCGATTCACGGAGAAACAGAAGTGCTGACGACAATGATCAATGGTCATCATCACAAGTTGCATCGAGTCCTTAGAGCCCTGGAGATTCCATCGCAGGCTGGGCGCCAGAGAGCTCTGAAGCATCGCTTCGGTATCTTCAGGCCAGGGAAGTCAGTTTTAGTGTCTTCGTCATGAAAGAATGATCAAGGACATAAGACATGTTTGTTCTTGCACCTGGTCTTTCATATGGTGCTTTTCTGAGTGATGAACCTTGGCCCTTCTTGTTCCAACAAAATTGGCACTCTTATACAGGAAAAAGTGTCAACAATTGTCACCAAGCCTGTGTGGCAGGAGCGCATCCGCGCCGTCGAATCAGAATATGGCCGCCCAGCTGAAGTTTTAAATGCTGTCAGCTGTCATCAGCTGTCAGGTCCTGTTGTACTGATCGTTTGGATAGCTTGACATGGCTGGTTTTTGTAGGCCACATATTGATTCCCCCCTGTCAATAGCACCTGTCATGACCAACGCCTCCTATCACAACGAAGCGCGTGGTGGTGTTTGTCTCAGACTGTTGAAGTTTTTGTTTGCTTCTTTGGAGTTGTTTGCCTACGCATCTCATGGACGACTCCTTAGGGTTGAGACACAACAGACCAATACTTGTTCAAGCTCGGTTTGTGACGATTTGCACATACTGAGCTGCTATGAGCTGCTCATTGCCAACAAAGCCAAGCGAGGCCTAAACCTTCCGCTGGAGCAGCGTTTTGCTCAAGTCGATGCAGGCCCCGTGCCGAAGATGAGAATGGAGATGATGACTGTGTTGATTGGAAAGTAGTCGGAAAAGAGGAGTCTAAGAGGTGCCTTAGTGCGTCAATGAGGTTGCCAGCAAACTAGCCGTGACGGAACGAACACTGCAAGAGCGGATTGAGAGAGTGGAAAGCAAGAGCTCCGCATCGTCGCCGATATAAAGTTTGACCAGGAACTATATTGGCTCAGATAAGTATCAGTTGCAAGCAGCCGATGGTGTAGATACTGCCTATGGCATGTGGTCTGTTGTGGTCTCCCTCTTGAGTTCTTTACAACTCTGGAAGCATCAGTCAACCCATAGTCGTGTCAGGCGCTCGGCGATTCTTGGACAGGCAGAGCTGGTGTTTGAGCAGTATGAGTGCACATCGTTCGGAGTCTGAAGGACTTTTGGTTGAAGGATTCCCCATAGGTCAAAGACTTGCAAGGGGCTGACAGAGCTTCCATTCTTTGGAGGTTGCAAGACGCAGACGCATAAACGTGTTAGTCAAACAGTTCCCATTTGATGCTTGCTTTGCCATTTAGGCAAGGTGCGGATCTGGGCGGCAAACCCACAAGGGCCGTCTCCATGAACCGTCAGAAACCTGGTTCCAGCTGGACGAGTTTTTGGCCTTGCAAACAAGCATCGACTAATCGCGGATCACGGGTCATGGAGATCAGATTCACACACAAGTCATACATAATGTATATCAACATATATCAACATACTGTATATCAACATATATCAACACAAATTTAATATGATCAGTCTTGAAGTCTATATAAGAAAATGGTCATGTATTGGTTGGCCTCCACATCAACAACCATGCACAAGTAGGTGTGGGAAGTAGCATTTTCATCTCCCTCTCTCCATCTATGAGACATTGAAAGGAGACATGTCTTACTGCAATCGAACACCCAGGCTCTAGTTATCCGAAACCTCCAGAAGGCAGGTTTCAGCCATTTCAGCATTCTGTTTGCGCAAGTTGATCCTTCAACTTGTTTGGGATTTGGGTGAAGCATTCAGCAATGTGGAAGAGGTGAATCCAACTTTGCCTTGACTCCATTTTGTGCCTCAGTCCAGCCACTTCAAAGTCGGCACAGACAGCATGAGTAATTGCGCAAGACAGGTGCCTTGGTATCATTGTCTCCGGCCTCCGGTCCTTTTCACTTGTTCACGTCCAGGTCCACGCTTCCTGATGGGTGACTCCTACTGGGAGCAGAGTCGCTGATCCCAGTTTGGAGTTGACGTCGCGCTCAGAAGAGGTTGTGCCATGTATTGGAAAGCAGTTCAGATTTGTACCACTGCAACGCGTCACATCAACTTGCTGCGTTTGCATCTGCGGTCGGTGTCGACGCCAGAGGACAAGGGGAGCGGATCCGGGAACAGCGTGAAGCGCTCATCCGCCGTGGACTATTGCGAGAGGAACCAGAGGCCACTGGTCGTTGCATGCTCACTTGTAAGTCAAAGCGCGGACTGCACTAACTTCACAGGCTTTGCACTGTCAATCTTGTCTGGTTGTGTTTCCTTGAGCCAATACGCGAATCGTATCATCAAGCCATGATGTTTTGCAAGCGTTTTGCAAGGTGCCACCCTTCAGAGCTAAGCCTGTCCCTGTGGCGGTCTATGCACCACGGCCCCAGGCAATGAAGTGTTGGCAACCGTTGCTCTAACACTTCAAGGGTTTGGGGTCTACACACGTCATGCCCAAAAGGCTACGAATCCAGCGCATAGATTGAGTTGGAAGTAGGTGGAAGTCCCGTATGAGTATGTTTCGGTCAGCTTTGGTCAAGAAGATCCTCCAAACGAACTCAAGGCCATTCCAAACCCATACAGTATGACTTAGCCATATGAATCAGATGTGGTGAGTGGCTTCTGCTGAAACCACCATCCAGTTCTCATAAAGGAGTGTCCGCAGACTGTTGTGACACATGGACCTGTGACATGGGAGTAGTTAAGTAGTTATTTGAACCAGCATTATTCTAGCCTTGCCCCTGGCAGAAATACATTTCTACAGGGCAGTCCTTTGCGAGTTGGAGCACCACAAATCCTTTGGTTTCTTCTTGCGCTGCAGTTGTGAGGCGCAAGGGCATTCTTTGCGGCGAAGCGACTGCATTGAAGGCCTCACACCTTGCTAATTGGCAAATGTAGGAGTGTTCTAGCATGTTTTAGCAACAAGAAACACCAAGATGGCCGGACCAGTTGAATTGCATGTGTATCAACGCAAGCGGCACCCCATGCAGGAGAAGACACTGAAGAGCAGCCCTTCCGAGCAAAGTCCTTGACATGTTGTGCAGCAAGCTTCGCAACAGGGCTGTAATGGTTTTGCCTCTACTCTCTAGTGATCAAGGATGATTTTGACTAGCGTGCAATGTTGACGGTGCTGCATGGTATCTTGTATGATTTATTGCTCTCCTTGCGTAGTCTCCTGAGTGCGTCAGAGTGTTGGTATCTTCGCCCTTCACTGACCGGTGCTCAGTGAATGAAACCCGGAGCACGTTTGTGAAGCATTCGTCCCTTCGTCGTAAGGCTCGGCCAGTGCCATGGCGGGTCTCCACTCCAATGTATGCAACTTGGGTTGCAGAATCCCAAGCCATTGAACTGAAATGACCTGGAAAAATGCCATCTAAAATGCCCAAACGTGTATGGTCAATCATATGACACTCATTGAGAATTGCAGCTGTTTTTTTGGTTGAGCATCCCTCACGTGTAACGATCAATAGACTTCGCATGTGTAGTGGGCAGGACCAGATCCTGGTGGAAGAACGCGAATCTCGGCAATCACAGCAACGCGCGCGTGGAATCACAGAAATGACTCGTGACAGAAAAGTCACTCTTGTAGAGAAGCACGTGTGTCAAAATACTGGTCAAAGCCAGGGTGTTTGAAGGTGATTGTCTGCAAAACGGAAGCTCAGCTTCTGATGCCTCTTTGGGGACGTTTGCTTCCTTCGAATGCGCAGGGGATTCTTTCCTCCAACAAGTATGTCATTTGAAAGGCTGAAAATCTTTGGGTTCAAGCATCCTGTTGTCGAGCAAGTTCAAAGTAGTCTTATATTGAGACATATTGAGGCCCTTTGTTCTGTTCAAGACTCCTCATGGTGTGATAATCTACTGACAAAGAGGTTTGTAAATCTACCCGACACTGCATAATACGTTCAAATTGTGTGGTTGCTTAGGCTACTGCTGTTTTGATTTCGCGAGAACAAACTACCAGGCGAAGCCTGCAGATGTTGCGATCGGCCTCGCTTCCGTCGGAAACCCGGAAGGATACATTGCTTCAAGAGAGCAGCCAAGTCGGAAATAAGTTATCTTGGCAGGAATAGCTTTGACAGCTTTGCAGCTGATTTGTGTTTGTCGAATCATTCAATCAATCGGCCTTTCTCAGGCCACGTCTGGAAGCTGAAGCAAGGGCCCGTCAGGGACCCAATGAGGCTGTGCAGATACTCAGGTCCAGTCATCAGCCATGAGTACTGCAAGGTGCAAAGATCACAATACCTTGGCTGATCACCCATTTGTCGCATAGACTCAGACATTCAATGAGATTGTAAGTTGCCTGCTTTGTTGGATATGGTTTTCACGCTAGTCGGGGCCATTGATCATCCTATTATGCCAATGCCTTCAAAGGGGTTGATGAACCCCCCCACATTAAGCCGAGACATGTTCCACCCAAGTTAGTGGGCAATGGCAAAGAAATGCCCCCTGAGTAAACAAGTTTTACTGGAAATCCTACCGATTAAACCATGCCTTCCTCCCCTGTCTTCCCCCCCTGCTTCTTCTTCTCCTTCTTCTTCTTCTTCTTTCCGTCCTTGTCCATTTCTGTCTTTCGTTATTGTTGTTTCTCTTTTCTTTTCATGTCTTTTCTTTTAATGTCTTTCATACGTTCAACATCGTTCAACTATTGTCTGTCTTCTTTCAACAAATATGTGCTTTACCAAGAAAAGCCTTCTGTGGGGGATTACGTATCAATCCGCGTTGGCATTACAAAGCGTTTGCATCATTTGGCATCCCAAAGTTCCTCTTTGAAGACCTTTACTTTACTATCCTTTACTTCCGTTCACACTTCTGAGGCCGAGAGCGCCAGGACGGCGCGATGTTCGCTGCTTCAAAGCAGACGCAACAGGTGAAATGATGGCTCGTGATCTTCCCAACCGATGAGCAGCTTCTCGTGTGTTTTCCTGATTTGCGACCTGTTCTATCGCAGTGCACTCGCAGGACTTGCGGGAGGAGTCTCCACGACCATTTCAGCAACGACCCTTGAATCGGTTCTTTGATCCTGAAACGAGAAACGCAGACTTGAATCAATTTGCATTCCTCTTTTGTCACACGAAATCATTTGCAGACTCCAACAAGCTGCCCGTTTGCAAGCTCCCCAGCAAACGGGAGTTTTCTCCGATGAGAGCTCAATTACCTTTGGACAATTTCCGTGCGGAAAAGGGCCTTTCATGCAATGCTTTGGGTCTTTAAAGCGAGTCTCTCGAAGAATTGTGGAAGGTCGACCTGCACACGAAATAGGATATGAGATTCCCTGACCACAAATGATCACAAATGCATACAAATGCCTCGCTTTCCAGAACACACCTGAAGGCCCCGCTGATGCTTCCGGACACTTGTCATTGTCCTTTTTCACCAGAAAGGACAGAATAGCACCAACGAATACAGAAAATAAAAGGAATGAGATGAATATAGGCGAATAAAATAAGGGAAGGTTTTCTTTAGGTAAGATTCTTTTAAAGGGGGCCTCAGTAATCAGTGCCTTCCCTTGCTTTTTCTCATTGTCCACGGGTGTCTTGCGCTCTTTGCCCTCTGGGAATCTTCAGATTGGAACCTCCTGAAACCTGCTCCGGAACGTGCTTTGGAACCGGCTCCGGATCGGTTTCCCCAAGCTTCGCTGGGGCAAAATGTGTTGGACAGAACGTCGAAGTGACGACCAGGACGTCACGCGAACACGCACTCAAAAGTGTTGAGCGTCGAGCACGACAAGTAGACCGCTTCATTTGCTTTGTTTGTGTTGCCCGCCTGGCTGAGTGACAAGTGGCTTTGCTCGTTTGAGTGCGTAGCAGTGTATAAAATGCAAAGGAGGAAACCATACGTGCCGTAGCCCATCAAGATTGGAGGCAATTAGAATTAAGCTAAAAATGACTATAGTATACAGTATATATATATATGTTTTGTCTATATATATATAGATATTAATAATTTCACTATGTATGTTCCTGTTACAAGTGTCAATTGGTTTGGCCCCTTTCCACCATTGAGGCCTTGGCATGGAGAGCCCTATAGTGCCCGACGGTGGCGTGCCAGCGATGCACAAAAGGCCCTACTTAGTTTTATGTCCTTTTCATTCCTCTTCAACTTTATAGATTTATAGATCGTTGTTCAACGAGCCCGGCCCTCCGGGCAGACTCAGCTTGGATTTTGGCCATACTTACTGGTTATCAAACGCTCCAGCCATACTTCTGTGGTTGACAGGTCTAATTTTGCTATCATATTGTCAGGCCTCCCGAGATGTTGGCAAAACATTGGCACTAAGTCCGAAGCCCAAGGAAGCAAAACTGTCCTGAATCCATGGTCATTTGCACCAACTGGGCGAGCATGGGACACAGTCAGACTTTGTTAGGCAAGGACAAGCCTTCATGGAAGCCCAAGTCTTCCTTTGCAAGGAACATCAAGTAGTGACTAAGTAGTGCTTCAGACTGGCTCAAGCACAATTTGTTCCTATTCCTATTGCCTTGTCTTCTCCCTTCAATATCTATAGAAGAGTTTTGGAGACGGTGTAAAGTCTTCATTTACAAACCTTCACAGTCTTGCTTGCTCGATGAGGTGAGAACGTCCCCAGAAGCCCAGCAGCCTTTCCTGGAGGCACTTGTCCAGAAAACTTGTCAGCCAGAGTGAGGGTATACTATGGATTTTGAGAAGCCTTGTTGCCAGGCCTTTCTCATTGTAAACACGTGCAATCTTGCAGTTGTTCAGTGTAATATGCAGAGTGTATGCATTGACAATCTCTTGAATTGACGTTCAATGGAGACTCCTTTTCCAAAAGGTGTTCATCTCACTGATAAAGTGGTGTGAGATTTCTCAGCTGCAGCCGTGGAGCAGCTCAAGCTAATGGCTTTGGAGGTTGGCTCTGAGGTTTGGGTTCCCTGCACTCATGAGGTCTGGCGCGCCGGTGTGGTAGTGAGCTTTGAGGATCAGCCTGATCAGACGAAAGCCTCACCTTTGAGAGGAAAGAATGGAAAGAACGGGAAGAGCGTGCAAACCTGGGTGGTGGTGGAGGTGAAAGTGCCAAAAGGCTCTGGAAAGGGTTTGGTGCGGAACCGTGATCCCATCCTAACCCGAGAAGAGGTACGTGTACCCCAACCTGTTCCTGGACAAAAGGTGGAACTACACCTTCGCAATGAGGTGCTGAAAAGGCCCGAAGGTGCACTGCAATTGCATGATTTAGGACAACTGCCACTGCTGCATGAGCCAGCTGTGCTGCATGCGCTGGAGCTGCGATTCCGAGGGGATTGTGTGTACACTCTCACTGGCCCTATGCTCCTGGCTGTGAACCCATTCAGGGCGTTGCCAAAACTCTATGGCTTCGAACGGCTTCACAGCTTCATCCAAGAAGGCAAAGGTAGCAAAGGCGAAGAAGATCAGAATGCAGAAGCTGAAGGCATCCAAGAGCCTCATATCTTTGGAGTTGCGAAGGCCGCATATGATGGAGTTTGGCATCGGTCTTTAGGGCAAACTGTGTTGGTTTCTGGGGAGAGTGGTGCTGGGAAGACTGAGACAACGAAGTTTGTGATGCGTTTCTTGGCGTTGGCGGGTGCTGGTGGCGCTGAGTCATCGATGTCAGTGGTTGAGCGACAAGTCTTGGATTCTATCCCGGTCTTGGAGGCGCTGGGCAACGCAAAGACACTACGAAATGAAAACTCCTCTCGCTTTGGCAAGTACATCGAGCTACAATTCTGCCCGCCAGAAGGGCTGGCACCCCGACTGATTGGTGCTCATACACACACTTACCTTCTGGAAAAGGTGAGAGTTGTACACCAGCAGCAGGGAGAAGCTTGTCGCAAGCAGCACAGCAACATGTTCCTTCTGTTGCGTTGTGCCTTGATACAATGAGCAAGATTCCATCATGCCCTGTCTAAGGAGAGAAGCTTTCACATCTTCTACCAGCTTCTTGCGGCTGCAAAGACCAGTAGCAACAGCGTCGAGTTCCTTTCGAGTATGCCAGCCGAGCAGTTGGCTGAGTTGAAGGCACTTTCTGCTGCATAAGCCCCACGATGTGTGGATATCGTTTTGCAAGTTGACTGGTCTATCATAAGGGGGGACGATGGAGGTTCGCACGACACCACTTGTAGCGCATTCCCAATGTCCAAATCTTCAGACATTCAGGGATATGATATGCTTTTGTATGGTTTTGTCATGATTGACTAGTTCGTCCTTGGTTTGAAAAAATATGTGAAACTTGTGTCAGGCGGAGAACTTCAGCTATTTGCGCAACTCCAAATGTTTTCACCTGGACTCGGACACAACCGAGGACCGTGTCCTGCCAAAACCTGCTTGGTGGTTATGACTTCAGCCCTGTTTCATGTTGTCATGTCTTGATTGCTTGTGGAATTGGTTATATAATGAGGAGCAAACATTTCTGGAAACCCTCAATGCCATGCGCGCGTTTGGCCTTGGTGATGATTTGAGTAGCATTCTATCCACCTTGCTGGCAGTGCTTTACCTAGGCTGGTCAACTAGTCGCAAATTGCGTGCCTGTTGGAGAGCCCTTGCTGGATGCAAACATCTTAAAGTTTCTCTCAGAAAGGAATTGCACTTGTGATTCTGGATCATAGGTGTACATCGTTGTTGGAAACATGATGAAAACATGATCATAGGTGATATCAAAAAACAAACAGCATGGGCCCAGCAGTTCTTTTTCACGCCCACCTGTGTACAACGCTCCGCAGGCAACCTGGGCTTTCGCGCGCCCACCGGGAACTCGGAGGCGTCCGAGGTGGAGAGTCCCACGACACCGGTGACGCCACTGGCACGAGCGGCGCAGTTGCTTGGCCTCGACGCCCAGCAGCTCGCGAGTGCTTGTTGCAAACGCACCATGCAGGCGCCAGGCCGGAGCAAAAGGTGATCCCCAAATCGGGCAATTTGATATAAATGAGAAGCGGAGGAGCTTGAAGAGTCAATCATGGAAATTCCATGAAATTCCGCAGTTTGATGTTCAGAGTTTCGCTTGGAGCTTGGCAGGCGAAGGGGTGATTACTATGACAAACTCGGTGGAGAAAGCGATTGATAGCAGAGATTCCTTGGTTTCTCGAAAGAATAGACTCTGACAAGAACAGCAACAGATTGTTCACTGGTCTTGTTTTTGAAGCTTGGCTCTTTGTGCATTTGCTTTGAGGCACGTCATTTGTACGATGCCTTGTTTACCTTTGTGGTATCGCAGATCAATGCCACGGTGAGTGCTCCTTGACATGGGAGAAAGGGGTGGAGAAGTCTGATAGGAAAAAGAAAAGGTGTTAATAAGAGCCCCTGGCCTTCTTAAAGTCGCCCAAGCACCTTGCATTTGTTCCTCTATCGGTTTACAAAAGCGTTGGGTTTCCCGCTTTCCCTGAAAATCTAGGAACCACATGGAACCACATGATTAGTACGCGCTTCTTCAATTGAGCTCCTCCTGCCGCCTTTAGGGCGGCGGGGTGAGCTTCCTTGAAGAAGCATGAGCTATCATGAGCCATCCTGCGTCCATACTAGTAGATTCCTTAAGCTACTAGCTACCTCTTCTTAGCAGCCTACCCCCTATTTTAAAAAATAAAGTATGTATGTAATGTAATGTAATGTAATGTAATGTAATGTAATGTAATGTAAT